GCAGAGCTCGAATACCTTACGGTAAAAGTATTCGTCTTTTGAGGTATCCACGAATCAAGCCATTTTTTGATGTCTTCATATGAGCGGAACTGCTGATCAGCCAGACCATGTGCCATCGAACGGAACAAGTAATAATCGGACGGCGCAATATCTGGGGAATATGGCGGGGGGTAGGACTTCCCATTTGAGCGTTTCCACGTAAGTTTTAACGGGTTTGGCAACATGAGGCCGAGCGTTGTCATGCAGTAGAATCACTTTTCGTGCCTCTGCTCGTATTGTGGCCGTTTTTCGCATGCAATCGCTTGGAAATGGCTTGGCGGGTAACTCCTAATGCTGAAGCAAGCTGTTCTTGCGTTTGGCATGGATCCTCATCGAGCAATGCCTCCAATTCAGCGTCTTCGAAGGTTTTTGGCCTTTCTTCACGCGGACGGTCGTCAACATCGAAATCACCGTCTTTGAAGCGACGGAACCAATCACGGCACGTTGTTTCACTTAGACAGCATCTCCGTAAACTTTTTGGAGCTCTCGATGAGCTTCAGCCGCCGTTTTCTTCGAATGAAATAAGAAAATCAACACTTCCCGCAAATGACGATTATTTGGTACAAAATCAGACATTTTCACACAACTAAAAGTATATGACGCCAAAACAAAATCATTAACATTCAAAGCGGTTTGTTTACCATATGTCTAAGCTTGGCTCGTGACGTTTTGGATATGTCAAAATCGACCAGCACTTACTGCTGGAGCCATCTATAGACAAACAGCGGGAACTTAGTTGCGACCTAATATGTATATCACGAAAATATAAAATCTATGGCACACAGCATATTTTTCTTGCTAGCTATAATGCGTTATAAAAAATGTAATATATATGTATGTCTAGGAATTGCAAAATATATATGTATGTCTAACAATTAGAATTAATTAATTCTAGCATGAAAAATGCATAAGATGCCTAAAAAATAACTTTACAAAATTATACACAATACATTATAAGGTTTTTTTAATGAAAAAATACATTTTGATTTATGAAATTAAGTGAACAGCAAAGATACAATAATATAAAGTTTTTGTTCTAAATTTATATAAATTATAAAGTACTCTAAAAATATGTATATAAAAAAATAGTACAACTTAGTGTTAAAGTTTGTTCGGATTGGCTTATAATACTAAAAGTAATTTCATATAAAATATTCATATAGATACATATGTTATATATATCCATATTATCTTACATTAACAATAGTAGGCAATATTGGGCATCTTAAATATATCCTTATATACATGATCATGTTCCTAGATATATCATTTATTTAAAAGACATGGATGTTAAAAATGCTCTTCACTTTGACTCACAATCAAATAAATCATAGATGATTTATTTGTATTATATTTATTTATATTATATTTATATTATATTATATTTATATATTTATAACTTTATGCATTAAAAAAATTTTTACATTAAACTTATATGCATATAATACCTGAATATAATATAAATAAATATTTCCATCATTTCTTTCTTAGTACAGACATGTATAAGACTGATTCCATTCTTTTATATATTAATGTTCTATAAATATTCTTCCCAAAAAATTATTTTTCATAAAAAATACGAAAAATGCGAGAATGTTATTTACATGATAACAAATTATCATATTTATATCAATGCTATAAAATACTTCTTCAAAATTATCCTAACAATCGTTTCAATCAGGAAGAGTGATAGTTCGCAAAGAGTCTTCGGGAAAAGTTGCTATTTCCGCGACAGTGCTGAAATTAAAGGGAACTGCTATTCCACCATCAAGAACTAAACCTCCATCAAAACACTCTGACCTTATGGTGATCCTTTTACAAAACCACGAGGATATATGCGCTTTGGAACGGACACTGCAACAGTCATTATCATATCTCTTATCGAATAACATAGTATGGAATCCTCTGTAAATATTTTATACAATGAATCCTTTAGAATTTTGTTATATAATCTCGTAAGTCGAACATTTTTATAAAATAATAATAATAATAATAATAATAATAATTACCGCACAATTATCTTTTGTAACATCCTTTCTTCCTTCTTTCACTTTATTTTAAACTCTTTGTCTTCTTTATTTCCTCCTTTCTTTCTTTAAAACATTAACTAAAAATAAAATATATAACACAAAGTATCAATTTTTTATAATATATAAAGTATTATTAAATATCAAAAAATATTAAAAACACAAGTTCTATTAGAAACGTTATCTGAACTTATCTGATGAAGTAATCTTGAACACGTCCAAGGAGAAAAGAGAAACCTTTACCTTGATTTTTAACATAATCTTTCACTTAACCCGGCTGTTACTAATAACCTTCGATTTACATAACTGTCAAAACGCGCGATCTTCGCTGCGACGACAGTTGCTCACGAAGTAAGCCCAACGAAAGAACCAATCAGCATCGCGGAAAAGCGACAACAATACTTTCGAGATATGCGAGAATCGATGTCATGCACTTTTTCAGATAGGACTAGATCGTCGCGCGCGCTTCGCGCGCGCCAATGCGATTATCTTATTTCGATATTTTACAGCATATAATTTGTATATTATTGCAAAACTAAAACTTATCTATTTTAATATATAATTCCTACCTCTTCCAATATTTCTCTTCTTTTTCTTTCTCATTTACTTTCTTCTCCTCTTTTACTCTTTCTCCATTTTTTTATACATTCTATTGTATATTTTCTTTTTCGATTTTCTTGCTTTCTCCTCATACTTGATCTCCATTTTCAATGCTCTCATTTTTATTTCTTTCATTTTCGTCTCTTCCATTATTATGTAATTTGGCGTTCTTCTGTCCAATCTTCTGTCTAATCTCCATTTCACATATTTCCTCTTTATTTTGTCTAGTTTTTCTTCCATCTTCCATATCCAGATCTCTGCTCCACATAATATGCTATGCTTGCTATTAAGGTTTCAAACATCTTCATTCATCTTCTCCTGTTTAAAATCCTGTTTAAATAACCTTTCTCCTACGCTCTATGTCATCTTTATTGCTATCGTTGCCTTTCTCATCTTCTCTATTATGTGTTTCTATGATCCTCCATTTTTTTACATATTTTATTTTTTTTTTACAGCATATAATTTGTATATTATTGCAAAACTGAAATTTTATATTTTGATCTATGTATTATTATATATATACATGAGCAAATAAATATTTTTATTAATATTATGTTTTACATCTGTTGATACTCACTGTATCTGCTTTACTTTAAAACGTTAATTAAATTTTATTCCTCTATTTGTTAAATTATCATCTTAAATATAATTTTTATATATTACAATTGTAAATCTAAAAACTTATGTATATTTTAATGTATATTATTTATATCATGAATATAAACAAATATTCTTATCAATATTATAATTTATACCTTACTATTATATATATGTTAAATTCTTTATTTAAAATTTAATATTTTTTATAAAAAATTAATTTTTTTAACATTCTGATTTTAATTGTATATAACATGCACATATAAAGTTTGTATCATTATATTCTTTTTTTTCTATTAATTTTACAAATACTACAATATCATGTGTTATAAATATTTAATTAAATAATATTTAATATAATTTTAAATTAATTTATGTTTAATTTTAAAATACTTTTGTTATTTTCTTTTAGATATTTTTATATTAAATATTGAATTCTAACTTATTGTTTCAATAATTTTTCTTGTCATATATGTACAAAATAAATTATTTTCTATTATTTTATTTGACAATTACTTTTGTAAAAGTAATTCGACAATTACTATTGTAAAAATGCATCCTCAGAGTTATGCTTGAAGAAATATGGAATAATCCATTTTCAAAAAGCATTTTTCATCACAGAATGCACTTTCGAAGAAATAAAAATATATAAAACATATTATGTTCACGAACGCGCTGCTTGAGCAAAGGATCGCGCTGCACGAAAGGATGAGTCACTTTTTTGTAAAACAAGGACTTTAATAATATCACACACGTATTGACAAAATACTATAACAAACTTATTACAAAACTTTAATTATTTTACAGTGAAATCGGAATCAAAATCAAAGTGCGGAATAGCGGCGGTCGTCAACGAATTTTGCGGTGTATCTGATAAGCGGTTTGCGATATGTTTTCACGACGGAAAAGCGATAAAGCTGTGATTTCGGGTGCGAGCTCTCTTTTATGGGTTTCCGCAAAAAACCCACCTTTTCGGGAAGCGCCAATAATTTTGCGTCTTTTTAAAGTTGCGCGAGGTGACCTGAGTGTATTACGCGTAATTGGCCGCTGTCAAATTGACAGAACAACGGCTGTTAGAAAGCATGCGCGAGCTGGCGATCACGATGATTATTGGCGAAACGAGGCGCCCGTGAGAAGCCGCGCATGCTCAATAAAATATAATTATTCGGCAGAACGGTTGCGACACCGTTAATTGTTTATATTTCGAGCGTGTTTTTGTACGACAGGATAATTTATGTCGCGATATGTTTTCAAAAAAAAAACATATAAAAACGATATGCCTGTTGACTTGCGATCGGAAGCGAATATTCTAGAATATTCTATTTAAGATATAATATTTTATTACATGTAGTTTCTATTATGCGTTTCAAACATTCCCGCCCGCCTTGTCGCGCAGTGACAACATGTTTATGGTATTTCGGTCGCGGAATCGCAAGTCGATAGTGATCGATGGTGGGGCAGGCGCGCCGGCGCGGCGAGATTCACGTGATGATCGCGTGTAATTTGAATCGATCAGCTGAGCCGCGGAAACACGTGGTGATCGCGTGGAATGTGATGATCAGCTGAGACAGTAACGAGTGTGTGTTTGATGTGAAATGACGAACGTGTAGTGCAGTGTGGTGATTATGGAACAATTGCAAGTGCGGTGGTGCATGATGAGAGTGAGGTGTGACAAATGATACAGTGTATGATGTGATAAATCTCGTGAATGAGTGTCGAACGTTGATGAGTGATGTGTTACGTGCCGGCGGACGGCGTGTCCGCGTTATTCGTGTCCGGAATACGATCCGCGCCCGGGAGCATGACCAATTTAATGATCGGGCGTACGAATTCGGATGTGGCGGTGCGTACTGAGACCACGCGGACGACACCGTCGTCCCCGGGATGCAGTCTCGTGATCCTTGCAAGAGGCCATCGAGTCGGAGGGGTGAGCTCCGAGCGGATGATGCAAAGGTCCCCGACGTGAGGTGCGGCCTCGGCCTTGACCCATTTGGTGCGGGGGTTGAGCCCGTGCACGTACTCAGCCGACCACCGCTGCCAAAAATGGTCTCGCATCAGCTGCAGGTGATGCCAGCGTGACAGCGTGGATGATGATTGTCCGATCCGTGACGGCTCAGGTATAGCTAATAGAGGCGCGCCGATGATGAAGTGCCCTGGAGTGAGTGCTGAAGTGTCGTCTGGATCGTCTGACAGAGCCTGCAACGGACGAGAATTAAGACACGCCTCGATTTGTGTGAGGAGTGTGTTAAGCTCCTCAAAAGTGAGCGTGGTGTCGCCGATTACTCGGCGGAGGTGAAATTTAGTGGATTTCACGGCAGCCTCCCAAAGACCACCGAAGTGAGGGGCCGCTGGCGGATTAAAATGCCAGCGGATCCCTTGAGTGTTGGCGGCGCGGGCGATGTGAAGGCCCTCGGAGGTCGACGCCTTGAAGAGCTCCCGCAGGGTGCGATCGGCGCCAACGAATGTTGTGCCGCAGTCGCTGTAGACGTCCGTACACAGTCCTCTGCGAGAGACGAAGCGGCGTAAGGCGGCGATGAAGGCCTCGGAGCTGTAATCCGAGACGACCTCGAGGTGGATGGCCTTCGACCAAAAGCAGACGAAGACCGCGATGTATCCTTTCTGTGAGCGGTGTCCGCGTCCCTTGCTGGTCCGGATGGAAATTGGTCCCGCGTAGTCCAGTCCAGTGCTCAAGAAAGGTCGAGTTGGCGTCACTCGGTCCCGAGGAAGGTGGCCCATTGGAGGCTGTGGCGTGGCAGCGCGCCAGCGAGTGCAAGTGACGCACCGATGCAGTTGCTGCTTGACGACGGTCCTTCCGCGTGGTACCCAGAACCGAAGGCGAAGCAGACCGAGTGTCATCTGGACGCCGCCGTGCAGAGAGCGACGATGGCAGGACTCGATCAGCAGTCGTGTCATCCAGGAGGCCGGCGGTATGATCACCGGGTGCTTCTCGTCGTAGGGCAGCAGTGCGTGTTTGAGACGTCCTCCAACGCGCAGTACACCTTGGTCGTCGATGAACGGATTCAGCTTGATCAGTGAACTGCGTGGTGGGCCGGAGCGTCCTGCGGTGGCAGCAGCTATCTCGTCCGGGAAGTGGAGCGCCTGTACTACTCGAAGCCACTGGAGTAGGGCGGCGTCCAGCTCGTCGGGGTGTAGTGGACAACCAGGTGTGACCTCCCGGCTCGCCACGTTGAGCCATCGACGACACCAAGCCGTAACGCGTAGCAGCCGATGAAGCGCAGAGAACCGAAGAAGGATGTCCGGTTCGACGACGACGGAGCCCTTGGTCATCAGGCTGGTGGTGCGCTGTTCAGGAAGGTCATCCTCTGCGATGTGGACCTCTGAGCTGGGCCATGCTGTCTCGTCCAGTGCCAACCAGGTAGGTCCAGTCCACCATAATGCGTGGTTGATTAATTCTCCAGGAGTAATTCCTCTCGATGCGCAGTCTGCAGGATTATTCTTCCCGGCTACGTGTCTCCATCGAGCGTCCGGGAGCTGTGTCTGGATATGAGCTACCCGGTTGGCGACGAAAGTTTTCCAGCGAGTGGCGTGTCCCTGGATCCAATGAAGCGTGACCTGGGAATCGGACCACAGATATACTGGAGTAGTTGCCAAGCCGAGAATGTCGCGGACATGCAGCGTGAGCGTGGTGAGTAGGCTAGCAGCGCACAACTCAAGTCGCGGCAACGAAACCTGCTTGACGGGTGCGACCTTGGATTTCGCCATGAGTAGATTAATTGACGGTTTTCCCCTTTCAGTGGTGCGGAGGTAGACTACTGCGGCGTATCCTCGTTCGGAAGCATCAGCAAAACCGTGGAGCTGCAACCTCGAGTGATCGTTGTCGGTGCTGAGCCAGCGATTCACGCGTATGTGCCTGAGCAGCGGCAACTGATCCAACAGCTGTTGCCAATGTCGAGCATCCTTGGCCGGCAGTGGAGCGTCCCAATCAAGTTGCTGAAGCCAGGTGCTTTGGATTAGGATCTTCGCCCGAATGACGACAGGCGCGAGCCAGCCCATCGGGTCGAATAGGCGTGCAGTTTCGGAGAGGACTCGTCGCTTCGTGAATTTGCTGACTGGCCGAGGATGTATTGCGAAGGCAAACCGGTCATCCTGAGGACGCCATCGCAGGCCCAATGTCGAATGGCTCTCTCCTTCCCAGGAATGTGGTCCTTGCTGCAGCCGATGCTCCTGTGGGACTCCTGTGAGGACCTCTGGATGGTTCGAGGCCCACTTCCTCAGTGGAAATCCGCCCGCCATGCAGAGGTTGCGCAGCTCCGTCTGGAGGTTGACGGCATCGTCGAGGTTGTCCGCGCCGGTGACCACGTCGTCGACGTAGCAATCAAGCCGAAGTACTGTGGCACCTTGAGGAAACTGCGCCCCCTCGTCCGCACAAAGTTGTTGCAGAGTTCGGATGGCCAGGAACGGTGCACACGCCATGCCGTAGGTCACCGTCTGCAGCTCGTACTCTCCGATCTCGTCCGTCTTGTTGTGACGCCACAAGATTGTTTGGAGACGGCAGTCCTCAGGATGTACGAGGATTTGGCGGTACATCTTCTCGATGTCGGTGACGAAGACGTACCGGTGCCAACGCCATCGCAGCAACACGTCGGTGAGCGCTGGCAGAAGGTTTGCCCCAGTCAGCAGCTGCGAGTTGAGCGAAGTACCGGCCCGTGTGCGCTGAGAGCCGTTGAACACGACTCGGAGCTTTGTCGTCGTGCTCGATTCCTTCAGGACCCCGTGATGTGGTAAGTAGCATCTGAAATTCTCCGTTGTTGTTGAGGTATTTACCTTCTTCATGTGTTGCAGGTCCTCGTATTCCTGCATGAAGCCGTGATAGAGGTCGCCAAATCGAAGATCTCGGCTGCCCTTGGTCTCCATGGCTTTCAGTAGGCGCTCCGCTGGGCGGCGAGTATCCTGAAGAGTCGTCGGCGGCGATGAGAAGGGCAGCCTCACCATGTATCTCCCGGTGGGCGTGCGCGTGACGGTGCGCACGTAGAGTTCCTCGCACTTGGTCTCGTCGGGAGTGAGTGAAGCCCGAGTTATCGGCTCGCTCTCCTGCTCCCAGAAGCGTCGAACGAAGTCGGCGAGGTCATGATCGGCGGTGCACCGGAAGGTGCGGCGATGTCCCGTGACTGCTGCTGCGTCGTAGCCGCCAGAGAGGATCCATCCCAGGCTGGTTTGCTGAGCGATCGGCATCCTTGATTCACCCTTGCGGAGGCCTTCCTCGAGGATCAAGGAATAGACCTCGGCTCCCAGTAGCAGCTCAGCTGGGTCGTCGTCTAAGAAGCGAGGATCGGCCAGTTGGAGTCCGTTGAGATGAGGCCAGCTGCGTTCCTCCCGCGAAACCGAGCCTTGCTGCAGCGATATGCGGGGCAGCACAAAGGCCACCACGCTGAGTTTGGCGTTGGTCACGTCTGACGTTACGTGCAGCGTGACCTTGCCACGAGCGGATCCCGAGCGAGTCCCTCCGATGCCGAAAATGGAGAGGCCCGTTGAGGCTCGAGGAAGGCGAAGACGTTGTGCCAAGGTCTCCGAAATGATCGACACCTCAGAACATTGGTCGATCAACGCGCGTACGGCTTGTGGTGATCCGTACCGATCGGCGACGTTTATTCGTGCTGTTGCAAGAAGAACGGCCTTGCACTCTGGATTTTGCAGCGTAGCGGTCAGTGTGGTGGCGCGTGTGGCTTCAGTTGACGCTGACGATGTGGGTGCTCCGTGTAACATCGTGTGGTGTCGTGCGTCGCATGTCAGACAGTTCTTCTTTGACTGGCAGCGAGAGAGAAAATGGTTGCCTAAGCAATTGTAACAGAGCCTGTTACTCTCGACAAATGCCTTGCGGTCGTTGACAGTCTTGGCCTTGAAATCTCGGCAGGTCATCAAGGTGTGCTTCTCGCGACACAGGCACAGTGCGGCGACTCGGTTCCTTGGTGCTTCGTGACGTGTGCCTTGGCTACCCGTGGAGCATCTCCGGGCGGTTTGCTGGCGCTCTTCGGTCGTGCGGCATTGAGCGTCAGGATCCGACGGCTGATGAAGTCCACAAGTGCCTCGTTTTGTGCCGGCTCTGATGAGTCTGACGTGGACGACTCCCACTCAAGACGTGTGCGTGCATCAAACAGCTCGGTGACCAGGAAGTTGAAGAGGTCCATTCCGTGGGTGTTGATTGGACGTCCGATGCTCTCCTGACCATTGACGGCGGCAGTCACGGCGTTGTGAATGCGTCTCAATTCTTCTGCGGTATCTCCCTTCATCTTCGGCACGGCGATGAACGTGGCGAAGTTGGAGCGGATCAATTCCTTTTTGTTGTTGTAGTGTTTGTCCAGAATCGCCCAAGCGCGATCGTAATTGTCGCTGGTGACAGGCAATGACCTTATTAACCTTTCAGCTTGCCCCGTCAGACATGAGCGCAGGTGGTGAAAGCGCTCGATGTTGGAGATCGCATTGCCACTCACGACGGAGAGAAAGAGATCTCGGAACGACGGCCAATCGGCGTAGGCACCAGAAAATGGCGGCACTTTGATACGCGGCAGTGATGACCTTGACGTGGCGTCGGCAGAAGGAGGTACGTTTGCTGCACGATAGTGTTCAGCGTAGCTGTCTAGTATGCTTCGTTGTGACACGTAGAGATTCTCCGTATCAGCATGCAACTCTGATTTAAAGTACTCGCTCTCACTGAACCTTTCCTTCAAGGCCGCACGGATAAGGTCATGCTGCGCCTCGAACTTTGTCCACAGCTGATCCAGAATTCTGGTGCGTGTGGAGATAGCACTGGCGGTGATATTGGAGCTGCCCAGCTTCTTCAAGTACTCCACAGAACGTGAGATGCGGACTTGAAGCTCACGCTGACAGTCAACCAGCGTGGGTACATCCATGATGACTGCACACGAAACTGCACTACTGTCACTCACGCGAGAAGCCGCGCTCGCGAACTTGCGGTTGCCGGTGCGACGGATCCGGCTCGAAGGACCAAAAATATGTTCACGAACGCGCTGCTTGAGCAAAGGATCGCGCTGCACGAAAGGATGAGTCACTTTTTTGTAAAACAAGGACTTTAATAATATCACACACGTATTGACAAAATACTATAACAAACTTATTACAAAACTTTAATTATTTTACAGTGAAATCGGAATCAAAATCAAAGTGCGGAATAGCGGCGGTCGTCAACGAATTTTGCGGTGTATCTGATAAGCGGTTTGCGATATGTTTTCACGACGGAAAAGCGATAAAGCTGTGATTTCGGGTGCGAGCTCTCTTTTATGGGTTTCCGCAAAAAACCCACCTTTTCGGGAAGCGCCAATAATTTTGCGTCTTTTTAAAGTTGCGCGAGGTGACCTGAGTGTATTACGCGTAATTGGCCGCTGTCAAAATTGACAGAACAACGGCTGTTAGAAAGCATGCGCGAGCTGGCGATCACGATGATTATTGGCGAAACGAGGCGCCCGTGAGAAGCCGCGCATGCTCAATAAAATATAATTATTCGGCAGAACGGTTGCGACACCGTTAATTGTTTATATTTCGAGCGTGTTTTTGTACGACAGGATAATTTATGTCGCGATATGTTTTCAAAAAAAAACATATAAAAACGATATGCCTGTTGACTTGCGATCGGAAGCGAATATTCTAGAATATTCTATTTAAGATATAATATTTTATTACATGTAGTTTCTATTATGCGTTTCAAACATAGTATATTAAATATATTAAAATTTATATCTGTTTGTAATATCTAAATATCATTATAATGTTTGGGTTAATTGTAAAATATATAACATATAATACAGACTTCAACAAAATTGTAAAATATGTATATCTAATTAAATTTCTATTATAATTTTATTTACAGTAATTAAATTTACACCTGTAAAAATATCCAGATCTTATTGAAATATTCTGTATATACATAATTTTTAACAATCTACTTTGTTTTTTCTTGTCCTAAATAAATTTCTAAATGATTCCCAGATCTAACTCGTGAAATGCAACATAAAGTGTCCATGACTAAAAACATATTTTCTTAAATCGTTGCAATTTTATCAAATGGTTGTCCTTGTGATTTATTTTTATGTCATAGCAAAAGCTATTCTTGGAAATGTCTTCTTTAATACAAATGGGTAAACATCTTCACATTTAAAGTATACGATTTAAAAAGATAATTTCTCCTCTTTTATCACCAGTCAGAATTTCCATTTTAACAAATATTCCTAATTCTAAAATTAATAATCTTGTTGCCATTACACAAACCTTCGCTGATATTCAGATTTAATCAACATGA